TGATTTGTCAAGAGGAAACCAGGTCTCCCATTATAATGTCTGTGTGGAGAGATTTTAGTCACAGGGTTTTATATGAGCTAAACCGAGTCAGTGGTGTAGGACTAAAACAGGACTAAAACAGGACTAAAACAGGACTAAAACAGGACTAAACAGGACTAAACCAGGACTAAAACAGGACTAAAACAGGACTAAACCAGGACTGAAAACAGGACTAAAACAGGACTGAACCAGGACTAAACCAGGACTGAACCAGGACTAAAACAGGACTAAAACAGGACTAAAACAGGACTAAAACAGGACTAAACCAGGACTAAACCAGGACTGAACCAGGACTAAAACAGGACTAAACAGGACTAAAACAGGACTAAAACAGGACTAAAACAGGATTGAAACCAGGACTAAAACAGGACTGAACCAGGACTAAAATAGGACTAAAACAGGACTAAAACAGGATTGAACCAGGACTGAAATAGGACTAAAACAGGACTAAAACAGGACTAAACCAGGACTAAAACAGGACTAAAACAGGACTGAAACCAGGACTAAACCAGGACTAGAACAGGACGAAAACAGGACTAAAATAGGACTAAAACAGGACTAAACCAGGACTAAAACAGGACTAAAACAGGACTAAAACAGGACTAAACCAGGACTAAACCAGGACTAAAACAGGACTAAACCAGGACTAAAACAGGACTGAACCAGGACTGAACCAGGACTAAAACAGGACTAAAACAGGACTAAACCAGGACTAAAACAGGACTGAACCAGGACTAAAACAGGACTAGAGCAGGACTAAAACAGGATTGAACCAGGACTAAACCAGGACTAAACCAGGACGAAAACAGGACTAAAACAGGACTGAACCAGGACTAAAACAGGACTAAAACAGGACTGAACCAGGACTAAACCAGGACTAAAACAGGACTAAAACAGGACTGAACCAGGACTAAAACAGGACTAAAACAGGACTAAAACAGGACTAAACCAGGACTAAAACAGGACTAAAACAGGACTAAACCAGGACTAAAAGGACTAAAACAGGACTAAAACAGGACTAAACCAGGACTAAAACAGGACTAAAACAGGACTAAACCAGGACTAAAACAGGACTAAAACAGGACTAAACCAAGTCTAAACCAGGACTGAAACTGGACTAAACCAGGTCTTATACCAGGTCTAAACCAGGACTAAACCAGGTCTAAACCAAGACAGAACCAGGGCTAAACCAGCATTAAACTAAGTCTAAACCAGGACTGAAACTGGACTAAACCAGGTCTTTAACCAGGTCTAAACCAGGACTAAATCAGGATTAAACCAAGACTAAACCAGATCTAAACCAGGACTAAACCAGGTCTAAACCAGGACTAAACCAGGACTAAAACAAGATTAAACCAGGAAACCAGGACTAAATCAGGACTGAACCAGGACTAAACCAGGACTCTCTAAGACATCCTGCGATCTTAGAACGTCAATAGAAATGGTTAATTTTGGCGTTTCTTTCCTGATAAAAACAAGATTAAAGCAGAACTAAACCAGGACTAAAACAAGATTAAACCAGGGGGAAAAAAAAAAAAAAAAGGATTAAACCTGGACAAGACCAGGACCAAGACATCCCACGACCTTAGAATGTCAGTAGAAATGGTTAATTGCGGCCCTATCTCTCGCGGCGGAGGAGTACGGCCTTGTTGAGAACAGGAGGGAGATAAGGGGCTGTTTGTCACGGACGCACGAGCCTTGAGTCCGACCGCGGGGGTTTGATTTGAGACGACGATTCTCAAAAGTCAAAAACCAAAGCAAAAACCAAAGCAAAACCAAAACCACGACAAATTTCACAGAGCCAGACGTTAGAAAGTGAGGCTACAACTCCGTGACGAGTACAAATCAGATAACCAGAGTAATCAGATAACCCAATAGGATTTCTCTTCTCTTGTGTTTCCAGCGCAAGAGAAATCTGATCAACAAATGTGTCTGTTAAAGGTCCTACGTAACGCAAACTTGACTCTTGTGAGCTTTAATCCGTGTCAGAGCGATGTTACTTCTTTTCTCAAACAGGAAAACACTCTGTTCCACCTTGTGATGTCACGTGGTAATACAGGAAGTGCTCCGTTGTGTTTTTAAACTCCACACGCCTTCACGAGAATCATTTGGACGATTTCAGACCTGGAAAAGGCAAGGGAAGTTTATTTGTGTAGCGTAATTCGTTCACAAAGTAATTCAAAGTGTTTTACAGAATGAGAAATACATTAAAATCACAATAAAAACAAATCAAAACGTAAATAATCATCATATATATATATTTTTTTATATATTTTTATTAAGGAATCACAATATACTCAGACAAGATTTACAAATCACAATTATTTTTCCTTTTATATTTTTCTTATTTTCAAAAGGAAAACACCATCTTAATAATAAATACCAAATCCAAATATTATCTAAAATGAAGCAAAGGCAAACAATCAAAAGATAATAATAAGTATGATGGTGAAAAATAAAAAGTAAAATAAAATAAATAAAAAAAAAATAAAATAAAAAAAAGAGAAGTAAAGAGAGAGAGGAAGAGAGAGAGAAAAGATACATACCTCGATACACAGACCACGATGCGATACATACCTCGATACACAGACCACGATACGATACATACCTCGATACACAGACCACGATACGATACATACCTCGATACACAGACCACGATACGATACATACCTCGATACACAGACCACGATACGATACATACCTCGATACACAGACCACGATGCGATACATACCTCGATACACAGACCACGATGCGATACATACCTCGATACACAGACCACGATGCGATACATACCTCGATACACAGACCACGATGCGATACATACCTCGATACACAGACCACGATGCGATACATACCTCGATACACAGACCACGATGCGATACAACCTCGATACACAGACCACGACGATACATACCTCGATACACAGAACGATACATACTCGATACACACACGATGCGATACATACCTCGATACACGATGCGATACATACCTCGATACACAGACCACGATGCGATACATACCTCGATACACAGACCACGATGCGATACATATCTCGATACAGCGCACTTTTCAATTTGATATATTTCAAATCGATTCGATACGGTTCAATAAAAAAACTAAAGTCTAAATCATGGCTGTGATACTAAAGTCTTTGTTAAACCACTTCTTGTGCAAAGTTCATATGAAACACAAACATTTTTATCATCAAAACAGTGAAAATGTCAAACGTGTCACATATACGAGTTTCATTTCTCTAAACAAGCAACAAAACTGTGGCACTGTAACAAAATAATTTAGTAAAACACTCGTAAAAATGCTCTTGCTGATATATCGATACAGTAGTCCACGATATCGATACTGTATCATCACATTAAACGATACGATATATTGATATTCCGATATTTTTGCACACCCCTAGTAACAACATTATAACACGGCTCAAAGCTCACACGAGTAAATTTTGTGTAATTTACAGTAGGACCTTTAATATTCTGTCCACTCTTGATGTTCATTTATTTAAAGGTTGTATAGAGGATTTTCCAAGGAACGAGAAATCCAGCGACTGTTTGTCCTTTTTCAAATGTTGCGCATGCGTGAAACCACCCCCCTCCCCTACAGCTCCTACGTAGAAACACCTCCTCCCTCCTCCTCCTTACGCCAGAAACAGGTTTGTTTACAGCCGTGCTGCACATGACTTGTAAACAACTAACTACAGTGTTGGTTAGGCAAGACGGAGAAGTGAGGAGCAGGGAGAAGAGAGAGGAGAGAGGAGAGGGGAGCGGAGATTCGTGCCCGGAGAAGTGAGGAGCAGGGAGAAGAGCGGATCGGGCAGCGGGGAGAGGAGCAGGAAAGGGGTGCAGAGAAGGTTGCGCGGAGATTCAGTGCGAATGAACTAGCTACAACACGCAGCAGCAAGCGGACTCTTTCTTTGCCTTGAAAATTACGTTTTCAGACATAGGATATCGCTTTCGTGTCCTGAAAAACGTTTGTCTAACTCTTGGAAATAAAGTACGTTTTCATAATAAGCAGACGTTTCCTGTACAGGAGTAATTTGTGGACCAATGCGTCAGTCTTTAGACCCTGCGTCTGCTTCAGTCGCGCCATCGCTGGAATGAATCTTCAAGAATCACCTTAGTTTGGCTTCGCTGCTTTTTCCCTTGTCTTCTTCTTTCAGCGACCTCAAAAACGGACTTTCTTTTGCGGCTAACTGCTCCTGGATTCTTGTCGCCATTGCAACAAACTTTGTGCGAACTGCGAGGAAGATATAGGTCAAAAAAAGCCGCTAAGAACTGTTGCGTTGGTGGAGTAAACAGCGTCTGTGCGTCTTGCGTCTGTGGACTGCGTGACAGTCGTACGTAAACCACGTACCGGCGGCGCAGGCAAGTCAGTTACACTAGAAACGTAGGGAGATTGATTGACAGCCTGTCAGCTCACAGATAACGAGGCAGTGTCGTTATCTATTGGCAAATGTTTAGCCCCACCACGTCCAGAGTTGATGAATTTTTATTCTCTTTTTTTTGGTCATCATAATTACAAGGCTACTGCACCTCTATAATCTATCATTGACAATTTGAAACAAAAAAAATCCTCCATACAACCTTTAAGTGTTAATATCCCTCAGTGTTTGGTGACATCAGGGGGCGGTTCTTGGGGAGGGACCACAGGAGCCCTGGCCCCCGCCTCTAATGTGATTGGCCCCTGAAGTGCCCCTATTCTGTCAATCAATTGATGAGAAGAACAATCAGAGAATTTAATGATCACTGAGGTAATTCCACCCCCAAACTCTTGTAGACCGACTGTGTCAATACAACAACAATGAGAGAAGAAACAGACCTGTGGAGGACTTTTTTTAACAGTCCTTTTTTGTTTTGTTTTTATTTGCACAGCGCTGGTTTAATTTTAATAATTTGTGTGTTTGGATGAACAACAGTTAAACTCATGTCTCTTGTCTCTGTCACAGTTACATCGCCAACCAGAGCAGCTTCTCCTCCATCAACGACAAAGACCTGCACTACTACAAGAACCTCAGGAACCTGTGAGTACAGGACTAAACCAGGACTAAACCAGGACTAAACCAGGACTAAACCAGGACTAACCAGGACTAAACCAGGACCAGGACTAAACCAGGACTAAACCAGGACTACACCAGGACTACACCAGGACTAAACCAGGACTACACCAGGACTAAACCAGGACTACACCAGGACTAAACCAGGACTAAACCAGGACTACACCAGGACTAAACCAGGACTAAACCAGGACTACACCAGGACTAAACCAGGACTAAACCAGGACTAAACCAGGACTACACCAGGACTAAACCAGGACTAAACCAGGACTAAACCAGGACTAGGACCAGGACTAAACCAGGACTACACCAGGACTAAACCAGGACTAAACCAGGACTAAACCAGGACTAAACCAGGACTAAACCAGGACTAAACCAGGACTAAACCAGGACTAAACCAGGACTAAACCAGGACTAACCAGGACTACACCAGGACTAAACCAGGACTACACCAGGACTAAACCAGGACTACACCAGGACTAAAACCAGGACTAAACCAGGACTAAACCAGGACTACACCAGGACTAAACCAGGACTAAACCAGGACTACACCAGGACTAAACCAGGACTAAACCAGGACTACACCAGGACTAAACCAGGACTAAACCAGGACTACACCAGGACTAAACCAGGACTAAACCAGGACTACACCAGGACTAAACCAGGACTAAACCAGGACTACACCAGGACTAAACCAGGACTAACCAGGACTAACCAGGACTAAACCAGGACTAAACCAGGACTAAACCAGGACTACACACCAGGACTAAACCAGGACTACACCAGGACTAAACCAGGACTAAACCAGGACTACACCAGGACTAAACCAGGACTAAACCAGGACTAAACCAGGACTAAAACCAGGACTACACCAGGACTACACCAGGACTAAACCAGGACTACACCAGGACTAAACCAGGACTAACACCAGGACTAAACCAGGACTAAACCAGGACTAACCAGGACTAAACCAGGACTACACCAGGACTAAACCAGGACTAAACCAGGACTAAACCAGGACTACACCAGGACTAAACCAGGACTACACCAGGACTACACCAGGACTAAACCAGGACTAAACCAGGACCAGGACTAAACCAGGACTAAACCAGGACTAAACCAGGACTAAACCAGGACTAAACCAGGACTAAACCAGGACTAAAACCAGGACTAAACCAGGACTACACCAGGACTACACCAGGACTAAACCAGGACTAAACCAGGACTACACCAGGACTAAACCAGGACTAACCAGGACTAAACCAGGACTACACCAGGACTAGACCAGGACTAAACCAGGACTAAACCAGGACTACACCAGGACTACACCAGGACTAAACCAGGACTAAACCAGGACTAAACCAGGACTACACCAGGACTAAACCAGGACTACACCAGGACTACACCAGGACTAAACCAGGACTAACCAGGACTACACCAGGACTAAACCAGGACTAAACCAGGACTACACCAGGACTAAACCAGGACTACACCAGGACTAAACCAGGACTAAACCAGGACTAAACCAGGACTAAACCAGGACTAAACCAGGACTAAACCAGGACTAACCAGGACTAAACCAGGACTAAACCAGGACTAACCAGGAAAACCAGGACTACACCAGGACTAAAACAGGACTACACCAGGACTAAACCAGGACTAAAACCAGGACTAAACCAGGACTAAACCAGGACTACACCAGGACTAGACCAGGACTAAACCAGGACTAAACCAGGACTACACCAGGACTAAACCAGGACTACCAGGACTACACCAGGACTACACCAGGACTAAACCAGGACAAACCAGGACTACACCAGGACTAAACCAGGACTAACACCAGGACTAAACCAGGACTAAACCAGGACTAAACCAGGACTACACCAGGACTAAACCAGGACTAAACCAGGACCAGGACTAAACCAGGACTAAACCAGGACTAAACCAGGACTAAACCAGGACTAAACCAGGACTACACCAGGACTAAACCAGGACTAAACCAGGACTACACCAGGACTAAACCAGGACTAACCAGGACTAAACCAGGACTAAACCAGGACTACACCAGGACTACACCAGGACTACACCAGGACTAAACTAAACCAGGACACCAGGACTAAACAGGAACCAGGACTAAACCAGGACTAAACCAGGACTAACCAGGACTAAACCAGGACCAGGACTACACCAGGACTACACCAGGACTACTACACCAGGACTACACCAGGACTAAACCAGGACTACACCAGGACTAAACCAGGACTAAACCAGGACTAACCAGGACTAAACCAGGACTAAACCAGGACTAAACCAGGACTAAACCAGGACTAAACCAGGACTACAGGACCAGGACTAAACCAGGACTACCAGGACTAACCAGGACTAACCAGGACTACACCAGGAGTAAACCAGGACTACGCTTAGACCAGAGACACAGTGTTAGATTTTTAATTACTCATTCAAATAATTCTAAATAAACAGTTCTGGTTTGGTCCTGGTCGGAGCCCGGCTTAGTCCCGACGTAGACTTTTGGTTCGGTCCTTTTCTAGTCTGTTTTAAGTCCCGGGTCACTTCACACGTCGCTTCAGTCCAAATTGAATCACAGTACATTTTGTTTTAAAGTACAACAAGCCCTAAACCCCGTCAACACTGGTGTACAAATAAAATCTCATATTTACTGATAAGAATCGACGCTTTAATGAACAAACTGATTAAACACACATTATCTGTAATCAAATAAACGGCGGAGTAATGATCGTGGTACTGCCTTCCCCGTGTGTTTGCGTGTACTTGTGTAGTATTTGTGTGTATTTGTGTAGTAATAGTATCTGCGGGTGTGTTTTGAAGCCCCTGTTCTCCGAGCCAAGAGTCTGTTGTGTTAATGTATGTGCTTTTAATAACACCGAGCCGAGGAGAACGTGGACCGGGCCACTCTGTTCACTCACGTTTCTCCTGGTCAAACCAGGACTAAACAGGACTCTCTGGACTAACCAGGACTAAACCAGGACTAAGGACTAGACTACCAGGACTGACCAGGATAAACCAGGACTAAACCAGGACTAGACCAGGACTAAACCAGGACTAAACCAGGACGTTATTATATTTGTGACCTCTCACTGTGTCACTGTGGCCTAGTTTTCCTGTTGTCTAAACCAGGACTAAAACCAGGACTAGAGCTGGACCAGGACTAGACTGACTCTGACCAGGACTCAGGACTAACCAGGACTGTAAACAGACTAAACCAGGACTACCAGGACTAGACCAGGACTAGACTAAACCAGGACTAGAGACTAGATTAGACCAGGACTACACCAGACTGGATTAAAACCAGGACTAAACCAGACTAGACCAGGACTAGACTAACCAGGACTGACCAGGACTAAACCAGGACTAGACCAGGATAGACCAGGACTACACCAGGACTAAACCAGGACTAGACCAGGACTAAACCAGGACTACACCAGGACTGCACCAGGACTAAACCAAGACTTAACCAGCACTAAACCAGAACCATGCCAAGACAAGACCAGGACTATGCCAGGACTATGCCAGGACTAGACTAGGACTAGACCAGGACTAGACCAGGATTACACCCAGGACTAGACCAGGACTAGACCAAGACTAGACCAGGATTACACCAGGACTACACCAGGACTACACCAGGACTAAACCAGGACTACACCAGGACTACACCAGGACAACACCAGGACAAACCAAGTCTAGACCAGGACTAAACCAGGACTACACCAGGACCATGCCAAGACAAGACCAGGACTATGCCAGGACTAAACCAGAACTAAACCAGGACTAAACCAGAACTTAACTAGGACTTCACCAGGTCTAAACCAGGACCAAGACAAGACCAGGACTACACCAGGACTAAACCAGGACTAGAGCAGGACTAAGCGTTATTATACTTGCCTGTAATGTTTCGCAGTATGGCATTAAACTTTTATATCGTCATGGAGACCAAACCAGACCAAGTTAGAGGTCAGATCTGTGGAGAGTTTGGTCCTGCTTTAGTCCTGGTTTAGTTCTGGTTTAGACCTGGTTTAGTCCTGGTTTGGTCCTTGTTTGGTCCTGTTTTGGTCCTGTTCAAGTCCTGGTTTAATCCTGGTCTGGTCCTGGTTTAGTCCTGGTGTAGTCCAGGTTTGACCTCAGCCCATGTGTCTGTGTTTGGCCCCAGCACATTCTATCTGAAGCCCGGGCGAATATTCAACTCCCCACGGTGAAATAATCTGAGTCACTTCAATCGTGGAAAACTCTGAAATCTAAACCCTGGTCTGTCCTCTTCCTGTCCAGTCCCGTTGTTTTTATCGTTGTTTTTCATCGTTGTTTTTCTGTTTTGTTTTTTCCAGAACGGTGACCAACAGCCGGCTCACATATGTGTCCAAACTGGCCTTTCAGAACAACCTCAAACTGCAATACCTGTGAGTACTTTTATATCACGTTATTTTGTAAATATGTTCTGCTGTGTGAGTGAATTAAAGCGGCCGTATTACGCTTTTTTCTCATCTGTTATCTTGTTGTTTCCTCATCAAAAACAGACCCGGAGTTGTGTTTTGTTTCATTCACACATTTAACGCACAAACTCTGCAGATTTAGGCTGAGATCTTCTCTCAAACCGCATCAACTAAATTTGAAAAGAAAGAAAAAGTTGTACATATATAGGCCACATGTGAATATAAGCTGAGTTTGGGCTGTCTTTTTTTGTCGCCTCTGAAAGATTTGACTGAAACGAATCTCCGTATCACCGTATCGGAAACGATCTGCGTCCAGACACGTTGTTTCTGTGTCCACAAGCCGTCCCTGTCACACAGCTTTGAGCATATTTGTTAATGTTTTCAGAAAATAATATATTTTTTTTCCTTCCCTCTCTCTTGGGGTGGGTCAATCAGACCCAAGCATTTATTTTCTCGCCTGGTGAGAATTTATTTGAAAATACATTTTTGGGTCTGATTGACCCGCCCCAAGAGAGAGGGAAGGAAAAAAATAAAATTCTTCGGGTCAATGTGACCCCGAGAAGAGCGTGAGGGTTAAAACCACATGGCTAATTTGCATAAACCGAGCGCTCAAAAAAACAGCTCGCTCCTTGTGCGCTGATGCGGTTCAGCTTCTGTCGGACTAAAGGACACGACTCAGTGGAACATGAGAGTTCTTTCTGGGACAGAGGGATGTTCTGTCATGTTGGAGATGGTTCATGTGAAACTTTTCAGAGATTATACGTCTGCAGGTCGTACACATAGACCGTAAATATAAATGGACATAAATTCTAGCCTCTTAGTGTTTTGACAATGGATTACTTCACCCTGCATAGACCTACATCAGAGTATCAGCGTTTTCAGGTGTCCACACTGTGCCGGATCAGATCTGTACTCAGATGAATGTGTGGGAGCTGCAGGCACCAGATTGTTCCGTCTCTGGAACCGTTTTCAATTGGATTAATGTGAACGAACACTGCATCTGCAACAAAAACGACTCAAATACTAGTGTGGACGGGGCCTAAGCGAGTGTGACGTCACCTACAGCATTCGGCTCCACTCAAATCAAGCTCCTGATGCTAAAGATTACAGGAGCGAATTTGGACCCAGGCTCCATATTTGTAAATCCGACGAGAGTATCATAGCAACCACAAGAGCCAATCATAAATGTGCCCGTCCTTCTCACCGGAAAGCAGGAAGAGGGTTTACTTAGCAACGAAACGCACCAACTGTCAATCAAACCTGTTGATAACACTAAGCAGGAGTGACCTCGGGGAATGAAGGCGTCTGATTGGTCCGTTATTTGTGTTCATATCTTGATTTAGGGACAAAATAGCGAAATGAAAAATACAGGATCACGTAAAGTGGGTTAATACGAACAATTAAGACCAAAATGACGAGGCTCACAGCAGCAGGTACAGAACAAGGAGCCACGATATTCTAATGTAAGTCAATGGGAGCCAGGGTCAGAAGGAGCCGGAAGAGCCTCCTGGAGAACTTCCTGTTTACTATGTTTACTATGTCCACTCATATCTTTGGTCTGTGTTCCAAACTCCATACATCTTCCCTAGAATCATCTGAATTTGCCAATCTCTACTCAAATAAAGGTCAAATGTAGCTGTAACTTGAAAACTACCACTTCATGACATCACAAGGCTCAAACATGTGTGAAAAATCAAAACAAAACACAACCCCAGGTCTGTTTTTGATGAGGACACAACATTCTAACATGGCTCAAAGCTCACAAGCCTATAAAGTGCATTTTTCTAATTACTGGTTTGGTGTGGTTTATATCAGTGTCAAGTTTTGTCCAGCTGACAGATGTGGGAAATGTTCAGAAAGATAAAAATTTAGGGCCGTTGCCAGATCAATTGACAATTAAAATCAGAGTATTATTTTTAAAATTTTGAATGGTAAAAAGTCCACAAAATGTTGCATTTCCTGTAACATGAAGCTAAAACTAATGTTAAGAGTTCAAAGGCATCGCCAGGGATCCCACTAGGACTGTGCAAAAATATTCAAATATCGATATATCATTTTGTTTAATGTGATGATACAGTATCGATATCGTAGGCTGCTGTATCGATATATCACCAAGAGTATTTTTTTTTGTATATATATATATATATATTTTTTTTTTCACATGTTGTAACAATGTTTTTATTTCGTTTTGTACATTATAAAAGCACAACCACACAATCTAGCAGTTATGTACATAAAAACAAAAAAAAAAAAACAACAACAATTACAGATCAACCTAACAGTTTGAAAATTAAGTTATAGCCATACATACATTTTTTCTCCCAAACCAAATATCAATAAATATAAACATATATATACATACTGTATATACACACCATAAAAATATAAAATGTATACATATATACATACATTAAACATTTTTTGAAATAAATAAATAAAAGCAAAAGGTTTACAGAATAATCTCAATCATCTTCAGCACCATCCGTCAAATAAAAATTTTTTTGGTATATTTTACTAAATTATTTTGTTACAGCGCTACAGTGTTGTTGCTTGTGTAGAAGAAGGAAATTCATTTATTTAACATTTTCACTGTTTTGAGGATTAAAATGTTTGTGTTTCATATGAACTTTGCACAAGAAGTGGTTTAACAAAGACTTTTATTATCACAGCCACGATTTAACCTTTATTTTTTATTGAACTGTATCGAATCAATTTGAAATATATTGTATCGAACTGAAAGTTTGCTGTGTTGAGACAGATATCGTATCGTGGCCTGTGTATTGAAGTATGTATCGTATCAGCAACTTCTGAATGATACCCAGCCCTAGTTCCCACGGTCATGGAAATCCTGGAAAAGTCACGGCAATTGAAATTCAATGAAATTCAATGACATTTTTGCGAAAGTCATGATATTTTAGTATCTCTTTCACGCAAGTACATCGTTCTGTTAAGTTCTCATTAGACTATTATGATTATTTCTTAACGTTTGCGCCTTTTTGCGTTTAAAAGAGACGACAATAACTGCACTGGAAGTATTTCAAATATTAAAAATGATAATCCCAAACCATAAGGTGAGTGGAAACAGTTAACATTTCATATTTAACCCTAAAAGTCTGATCAATTCTACACATGTAGGTGCTGTAAAGTCATGGAAAATTTACTTTAAGTCATGAAAAAGTCTTGGAAAAATTTTGAAATTCTGTCAGTGAAAAAAAGTGGAAACTAATAATAACAAATATCCATAAATCTGTAGTTTTAAGTATAAAAAGCACATTTAAAACATAAGATTGGACTGTAAAACATATCGAGGGCACTGGGAGAAAAATCAATAATTTAACAAAATGAAGTTTCTTATTTATCTTCTGATCTTTTGGCCATTGTTTACAGTGTGGTTGCTATGGGTAACACTTTGTGGGATTATTTATATTACGTATGTCACATCTGCCGCTTGTGTCCAACCAGGAAACAACATTATTAACAAAATTTAGTCAAGATTTTTAGTCAAACTTAAAGAATCTGTTATCATTCGTTCATTTGTTTTTCAATATAAAACCAAAAATAAGAAAACAAAAAAAACAACAGTTTTCTACATTATTTGTCTCCAAAACCAAAATGAAAAAACAGATAATGATTCGTTTTTTCAGTTTTCGATTGTATGTTTAAATGAAAAATGGAAAAAATTGATTTACGTGACTCCCAAGTGACTGCGATGTCGGACTTTTGCACCACATACGGACTTAACCAGGATTGATCCAGGTCCGGGACCAGACCAGGACCAGGCAGGACCAGAGCGGGACCTGGGGGGACTCTGAGCTTTGACTACGAGCCTCCGCGGGGTCCGAGCCTCAGCTTCGAGCTCCGGCCCTGTCGTGAGCTCTGAGCCTCTGGTCTGGTCTCGGTCTCAGTCCCAGTCTGGTCCCAATGTGGTCCCGGTCTGGTCTCGGTCTCAGTCCCGGTCTGGTTCCCGGGCTGCTTCTGGTCTGGTCTCGGTCTCAGTCCCGGTCTGGTTCCCGGGCTGGTCCTGATCAGGTCTCGGTCTCAGTCCTGGTCTGGTTCCCGGGCTGCTTCTGGTCTGGTCTCGGTCTCAGTCCCGGTCTGGATCCCGGGCTGGTCCTGGTCTGGTCTCGGCCTCAGTCTCGGTCTGGTCCCGGTTTCAGTTCTGATCTCAGTCCCGCTCTGGTCCCTGCCTGGTCCCGGTCTCAGTCCCGGTCTGGTCCCGGTCTAGTCCCGATCTCAGTCCTGGTCTGGTCCCGGTCTGGTCCCGGTCTGGTCCTGGACCTGGATCAGTCCTGGTTCAGTCCGTATGCAGCGCAAAAGTCTGACGTCGCAGTCACGGGAGTCACGTAAACAGGAAATGTCCGTTATCCAAGTTTTCCATTTTTCATTTAAACATAAAATCGAAAACTGAAAAAACGAATCCTTATCTGTTTTTGGAGACAAATAATAAATAAAACAGTTTTTTTTTTCTTTCGTTTTCTTATTTTAGTTTTTATATTGAAAACCAAATGAACGAATGATACACGGATTTTAAAGGCCCCGTACTCTGTTTTCTGTTTTCTGTTTTCATGTTGTTGTTGTTTTAACTTTTCGATCTTTTAACCTGTTTCCAGTTCTCCGTCTTGTTCCCAAATGAAAAGCAGAGGTTAAGATGGTCTAAAGCCGTGCTCCTGTTTTATTGTCCAGCTCCGAGTGTAATCTGATTTGGTGATGTTTGACGTAATCTGATTAGGTGTTGTCTGATTTCATTCGCAGGAATATGAAAGATAACAACCTGTCATCACTGTCCTGGAGGATCTTCAGACACCTCAACATCTCCTATCTGTGAGTCCACACCTTCTCTCTCTCTCTCTGTTTCTCTCTCTGTTTCTCTCTCTGT